CCTTTCAAATGAGACAGAAAAAAACTGTCGCAATACAATGAAGCCCCAACTTCACGGGAAAGCCTTTATCGGCATCAACGCCCGTACTAGGAGACGCAATGAACACACAAGTGAATTCTACGCTGATCTACGTGTTCTTGTTTCCGTCCCGACAGCGCAAGCCCTCGTGAATTCAATGTTAGAGTACGCATAATTTAAGTCGCTTGGGAAGGAGCGCTTGGAGTATGCAGTTGCGACCGAAAAGGCCTGGTTCTTTAGAAAGCAGGTACGAAGTACGCTAAAGTTGTCTTCTACACTCCCCATCGAAAGAAGACAACAAGGAAACACCATTCCTTGTGCTACCGGCACTCAATGGACCACTTGCTTCTCTGGGAGCGAGATCAGTGTGATTTTTTCGTAACAGGGACGATGTATGGCACCTAACGCTGAACTGATGTCAGGCATCTTATGATGCTTGAAGTGCGTAAATGAAACGGATGCCTTCAGGTCCGGGACAATTTCCGCAGAATCTCTGCCGCCACTGCAGACAAAATATGCGCGATTGTTCCTGCTCATATATGGAATCGGAAGTGTTTTCAGACACGATAACGTTGGGATCAATTAAGATAGATTCGATGCGGGACTTGGGTTCTCGGCGAACCAAGTTCTCGAGGGCCAACTCCCACTTCTCTCTTTATCGCAGCGCTCCGTGTTACCTGCCTGGTAGATACTGTGTGATGAACTTCATCTGACTACGGACGAATCACATGGTTTGATACCGAAGAGGAAAGGAAAAGAGTTGGTGAAAGAGATGGAGAGAGCATCAATGCGTATTTTCCTACTAGAGGGCATTAATCTAAACGGAGAGATTATACTAAAACAACTTGGTCAACTTGAAGATTGATTTTTAGGCCAGCGTAAGTCGAGTGAAGCTGGGGATGAATGAGCCCAATATTCCCAGGAAAACTTGCACTTCCTACTTTAAAAATCTTAATTCATAATTATGTGTGATTATATACCCTAAATCGTAGTCATAACGCCTACAATCCCTCATTTTAGTGTACCCCTATTTTCCTGGCGTATACAGAATTCCAGGAGTAACCACAAAAACGTATACACCTGCAGTGAGTGTCGGGCAGTTAGACAAAAGCTGATAAGAACGTCAGCTAATAAAAAAATGACCACTACAGTTCCTCTTGCCTGTCAGTATCACATCGAGGCGCCTTAGCATCTCCGGAGGCAAGTTCGGGGCACAGTCAGGCCATGAGTCAGTCATTAATCACTTGGTTTACCGATCGCACTAGACAGGGCGCCTGTTTGGCAACAGCACTTTGGGGGGGGGGTGGCCGAGCGGTACCAAATAAGTCAGGTGTTAAGAAATAAGGCCTTCGTTTTCTTAGTTAACAAATATACTTCTCAAGAGGAAATCCGGAAATGTGGGAAGGTAAAGGGGTGGTTAACTATTTACCCACGAGGACCAGCACCCTAAAAATTGTTGAGGTAATATCACCTCTTACATTCCTGATCGGGAGAATACAACGTAGATACACCACTGCTCGTGCCACCAGAAATTTATTTACCATGTGCTTCTCACGAAACGAAATCAGCGCGGTGGTCGGAGATAAAAAGTGGCTATTGATCATACTACAACTTCGAATCAAATCAAATACGTATCTAAGCTAATCAAAAGCAGGTTGCTTGCTACGGTTACTAACTTTTAAGTATGCACACCCTTAAGCAAACTATGAGCAACCGGAATGTGGATGAAGGACATTGCTTGCTACTGCGCACTCGACAGAGCAAGATTAGTCTCGGGGGTGCTTAAAGGACACCATCGTTTATGCAGAAGGCAGTAACCCTAGAAAATCGCAAGGTAAATCAAAGTATGTGCTCTTCTTTTTGAGTAAACAGTGGAATATTTCCTTAGACGTTTTAGGCAACAAACCAGTGACAAAAGAAACTGTAGTAAACAGAAAAAGCCGAAATTGATGACAGTAAGTCTTATGCAAAACCTGGGCTAACGCAAACTCTTCGTCATCGAACAGGGATATCAAGGTGGATTCTTCGATATAAAAATATACAAAACAACGTCGGTTCTTCGTGGATCCACCTGATGCGTCCAATAGTCCACACTTCCTATTCCAGATTAATAAAATGCTCCATTTACATGATTGCAAACTACGTAAAACGTTTAGAATATAGGGCATCGACAACATACTTAACATTTACGGGGCAAAATACATACCTCACGGTCTTGAAGGCTCCAACCAACCACCCGGTACGCATTGGTCTCCGAGTTGAAATACAGCTGGACTTTGGCAACACTTTGCGTACCTCCACTGTAAATCCAAGAGCTGCCTTTGCTGTCATACACCATGACATGGGCCTTCGCGGTGGCGACTGGGCGTTCGCTAAAAAGTGGGAAAGAACAGAAAGTGAGATCCACAGAAAATGGAGGAATGAAAGAAAACCCAAATAGTTTTTAATTTTCATTGGCTATAACACCGAATCATCGTCCACACAAGAGACAAACTAAATTTACAATAAAGAGAGCTATAAGCAGGCTTTTGTATTTGGCCTTAGCCCTGGAAGAGGAACAGACTTCCAGCTGTTTCAAAGCAAGAAAGGCGGTGTGACGGAGAAGTCAGCCTACGTCTTCAGCAACGAATTTCGATTTAGAAAGCAATCCGCCCCCAACTTGACTGACTGACATTCATCTAAAAGATGACTTCCGCCATAGGGTTCGAGAGGAGGGTGCTGGTTACATGTTGGACGTCCTGATATTGGTTCACCAGTCATAGTGCAATGGATTTGTGAGTAACCGATCCGACTGATGCATGATTCGAAGGAGCGGCTGCAGTGGTGACGGATTGTAACTGAGTTCACATTGTTGGCAGTGGAAAAATCGGAATAGGGGAGGATTTAGTTACTTTCGCAACGTTGCTGGTGACGCAAACGCTGTGCCGAGGTATCGGTTGGGGTGGATTGCCAAGAGAAAGGAGAGCGTTCACCGGGAGAAGTTTTTTAGACGTCTGACGTTTCGGGTGGTTGTGTCACCCATCCATCTTCAGAGACTGAAAATTCCAGCTCACGGCTCTCGTTGTATGCTGCTCCTCTCTATGTGCGTAGCCTGCCAACACTGGCTAAGCTGCTGTGTATGGCTCGCACCTCACTATGAGGGTTCGTAAAACCAGATAGGG